TTGATTTTATGAATGAATCAAGAGGTCTACATTCTTAGTAGTCGGTGGTTTAAATTGAGCAGATGGATAACCTACATGTATACTTACAAATTGTACAACAACATATAGCCAACACGAATGACTAACAAACTACCCACAAGCCATCAAAATCCAATAAACTTCTCGAGCAATTCGGCCGTGAGCGTTGCGTTGCGCTGGCACTCCAGATTCAGCGTAGATTTACAGCCAATCAGCGACTTTTATTGGCAATTATGCGAATTTGATTGGCACGCGCAAACCGCGCAACATATCTGCGAGATTAAGTGGCGAATTTATGAGAACAAACGGCATTATAATAACAGTTTTCTACATATTACAGGTGAAATCAAGCGAAAAGTAGCAATGTTATAAATCGTTTCGCAGGCTATTCGGACTTTTTCGCTGACGCTGCTTCCGGATAAATGAGCATAGGCTAGATATGCACCGATAACTAATAAAATCCTGCATTATTATTATGTATGTGCGAGCATAGCGCGGTTAGCCAGAACAAAAAAGGAATGCGAGATCGCTGATGCTGGATATAAGCTTTACGGTTCTTGCAATACAGAGTGAACAAAGAACATTCATTTATTTGTCGAAATACAAAGATAAATGCGATAGTCCACTAGGCATCCTCCTAGTAGGTAAAAAAGCAGAGTATTTTTATTTCGATAGATCACCCACTTTGTGTAGTGTATAGTTGCTATGCTTTCGAACGAGAGACTCAAGAATAAACCATGCTGAAGGGTAGCCAAAAAACATGAAACAGTTATATATAGGCCAGTTAGACATTATTTCCTTGCCCTACCGGTAGTGTATCTGGAAACGTCGCCTCTCCAGATACTTAACTCGATCAGACTTGGCAGAGATAGGAAACACTATGCTGTGAAGCTGCAAAACTCCGTGTGTTACCATACCAGAACAACCATTGACGTCTTACCCATATAACAACTTTCATTCATAATTTTATCAAATTGGCCCCAGACTTGGAACAGCAGGCTCAAGGTCAACTACGGAATTCCCACCATGGGCGTATCACAATGTAGGCCATGAAGGGCTATAAAAGCCAATAAATTTCGCAGTATATTGGGGGTACAAAAAACGTCTTTCTTGTAGGTATACTATTATTAAGGTGACCATACGTCCCACTTTCGGACTCTGTCCTACTGTTCCTGACAAAAGCCTGGCGACATAAAAATGTCCCTCTTTCTGGTCGTGGTGTCTCCAACAAAAAGCATGCCTCCCCCCGCTATTCATACATCCAATCATCGGCCATGAATGCAAAAAATGAAGTGTGTTTACACATTGCACTTTCATTTTATGATTGTAAACAAAAATAGCAAAATGTGTGTGTTTTGTGGTAGGTACAAGACCCCAATACGGAAGAAATAAAACACAGTAAATACCTAGTTAAAAAATGTTTATTTGACGGTTTACAAAATATTTTATATGGAGATCAATGAATGCAACTTAAAATTTTCTTGACATTCTTAATAGGAAATGTGTCAACAAGAAATATACCTAACAATTGTAAATATGGGATATCACACCAGCACAAGTTGTCAATGGACATTGCACGGATTTGAAAATGTGCAAAATATCCAAATGTTCAAGCTGACTCGTCAAACAATTTTTTAGTAACTCTGCCTTTTCCGCAGAAGCTAATCCAGCCAAAAAAAGTAGCCAACAGGAATTTTCCAGGATCCATTAAGACATACCAACATAAATACAAGTACATACTTTGCTTCAGGTAGCATATCTGAATCAATATTTGCCGCAATATCAATATACCCAGTGAATTTGATTCCCGTCCACTCAATTTGTTGTCGAATAGACATTTCATGTAAAACCAAATTGCACAGAACATGTGAACCCTTTAGATCTGCTTGTCGCTTTGGAATTTGTAGAGTTTCCAAGGCTTCCAACCATTAACTGATTTATACCACTTACTGATTGTACTTAAATCAGGTAAAGATTTACAAAGTATACGCCTTAGGTGAGTAAAACGCAAGGGTCACTGCAAAGCTTCTTAACGCAAGATCATATTTTTGTGTTGATGGACCTTTTAACATCCTTTCAAATATTTGAGAGGCTGGACCCGACAGAAACGCCTGAAACAACAATAAAAGCAAATTTCAATATCTTTAATGTTGGTATGTATGAGCAGCTTGGGAATAAAATACACTTGTAATCACGATACTTCAATAATATAGAACAACTTTCAAGAATGACATTTTTGCATTGTTTCTATATGGTACCTGTCACATTTTGCCATTGTCTCATGATTGAAATTGTAATCTTTCATGATTTCAGGTATAGGTGATGTCCACTTCAGACATTCTATAGGTCTAAATAACTTAAAAATTGAGGTGACTCGAATTATTCCAGTGTTTTAAGCTAACACCGCCATAAACAGTTAAGCAAGAAAGAAAAACCTTAAATACACAGGAAAATATAAATAAATTGGATATCACCCATTGTTTCTAGATATATGGTGAGCTGTCATATTGTTTCGTGACTTTGGTTATAGGCAAGGTCAAGTTATTTGTATTTTTCCTCTTTCAGGAAGTTTTAGGTTCTTTTGTTGTTACTTAACTGTCCCATTGTGGTTTTTGTTTGTTTTTCCCTTACCTTGTGTTCACTTTCAGTTGAAGCATTCATATTAAACTTTTGATTTAGCATATCAAGGAATTCCTTCTGTGTTTGCATTCTACTTCTGAAATATCGGATGAAACGTTGTTTGTTTTATAGTAACTTCCTCTGTCTCAAAATAGTGTCTTCCATGAGACGAAAATTTCGTTTTCTCTTCTCAGGTGTAGAAAAGTCGCTACTGGTTAAGTCTCCCACATACCTCTTCCTACAATAACAAGACCTTCATTATGAATGTTGTGAATGATTAATTTTACAGATGACAAAGATGTATCAGTGTTCAGTGTGTTTATGTATTTATACAGTGACTTTCAAAAGAACCCTCTCCTACGTATTTTTTGAATGGGTCAAATTAGCAAATAAGAATTTGGGCTAATGGAATCAATCTTCTTCTTTTTTAAGATCTGTCTAAATGTGCAGAGAAACATGGAACATTCTGTCATTTCTACGCTAAAATGTAGTACCTATATGTCTCAAATGCTTGCGAATACGGTCCAGGTTGAACAAATGTTTCATGTTTCAGCTGTATGCTACAAAAATGTAATTTTCGTTTTGTCTCTTCTAGTGGTCAAAATTTCCAATCAACCCCAAAGATTTTTTTTATCTTGAAATTATGTACCACTTCTATACCCAGTATTGAGACTATTGTTTCTATGAATGTTTCATGTGCTTGATTCTAAAAATATTAATATCATTTCTGGATCACCCTGTTTTATGATACAAATATACTAAGTAACATATAAATCCGAACACCCAGTTTAAATGGTTTTATTTTAATAAAATTTTGTATAAGTACTTAATGAAGCATAATAAGTAAAAGATAAAACTTTCAAAATGATTGCACTGCTTTAAAGCCGTTTGACCTTTAATAATGTGTGGATGCACCCTGATGTGCTACGCATTCTCCAACGCGCCTAGGCATGCTTCTGATCAGGTGGTCAATGTCCTCCTGTGGTATCTCATTCCAGGCAAGCACCAACTCCTCTCGAAGTGCTTCTAGAGTCTGAGGAGGACGTTGCAAATTGAGCAATCTCCTACCCATCATATCCCACACGTGCTCAATTGGGGATAAGTCGGGAGATCTTGGTGGCCATGGTAACAATGTGACACCATTATGTTGAAAGAAGTCTATTGTGACTCTTGCAACATGTGGTCGGGCATTATCTTGTTGGAAAGTTGGATCTGCCAGGGTGTCAAGATAGGGTAAAAGATGGGGTTCTAGAACTTCGTGGATATAACGCTGCGCGTTCATGTTACCTCTGATGAAGATTAAAGGTGACCTGGAACCATAAGCTATAGCACCCCAAACCATAACTCCAACAGTGTGATGAACATGTCTTTCAACAAAAAACTGTAGATTCCTCCTTTCACCACGTCGCCTTCTAACCCTGGCACGACCATCGTGCATACCTAAACAAAATCGAGACTCGTCACTAAAGACAATACTGTTCCATTTCTGATCCCAGAGTGATCGTTGTCTGCACCACTCAAGGCGATTACGTCGGTGTTCTCGAGTTAAAGGGAGGACCCAGTGTGGCCGGTATGAAAACAAGCCAAAACTTCTCATTCGTCGGTAAACACTCCGCATTCCAATAGGTCTTCCGTGTTCTGCAAACCATTCATTTGCAATGGACCTGGTAGTGGAGAAACGGTCCCTTAAGGCCAATAATCTTAGGCGGCGATCTTCACGGTCTGTTGTTCTACGGCGGCGTCCAGTGCCCCTTGCTCTTTGCGTACGGCCTTCTCGAAGCCATGCCTGACAACACCTAACCACAGTGTCTACACTTCTTTGCACTCTAACTGCAATTGCCCGAAAAGAAAGTCCAGCTTCCCGAAGTCCCACTATACGGCCCCTATCAAACTCACTAAGTTGACCAAATCGTACAGGTCTCCGTACTCTAGGCATCGTAACCGATCGTAAAGGATGTCAAGAACCAAAATCCGCCAACGTTGATTCTTTACTGCGGCTGAAATATTCATTTTTAGAGCGTTAGTGAATTAAAAAAAAAGCAGTATAAAAACCGGAATGTCCAACTGATAAGGCTGAAAATTTTTTCACTTGTTATTTACACTAAGATAAATACATTCACCAACTTTTATTAAAATAAAACCATTTAAACTGGGTGTTCGGATTTATATGTCACTTAGTATATAAAATATTTACAGTACATTTTTGCATTGATACTCCTAGCCCAGTAGAAGCAATTATAATCAGATAACTGACTGTTTTAATTGTGTTGAAATGCTGTACTAAAATTTCTAAAATACTTTTAGATGAAATAAATAGCACATTTCCAAATTTAAATTCAATTATCCTTCAGTACATGGATCTTTCATGAAACATACCTCTCATCAGTATTAATTCTGGATGAAGAGCTTATGGAGCTGCCAGTCACATCTAGGGAGCTTGCAATACCTTTTGGCATCACAGAAACATATTTTGGGGAAATATCAATACTTGACGATGATGTACTAAAACAATAATATATTATATTGTCACCAATTAAGTAACCATTCTTATCTGTTTGTATAACAAGCTTTATATTCATAATAGACCAAGTGATAATATAACTGTCCCCTTAAGTCCTCTCTTCTACATTCTATATGTCAATGACATAATGCAATTAATACAGCATTTAAACATGTATGCCGATGATACATCTTTTGTTATCACTGAACACTCAGAGGCAAGAACTAAAATTGTTGCAACTGACCACTTAGAACAACTTCAGAACTGGTTCTCATCCAATAAACTACTGTTAACTTTAAAGAAAACACAACTACTGCAATTCAGTAGAAACTTAGAAAGCAAACACTTTTCTATCTTTTTTAATGGAAACACTATTGATGCTGTAAACACTGCCTCACTTCTTGATGTTAGTAAAGATTGCTGCCTCAATTGGAAAGACCATATTGAAGATGTATGTGAATCTGTTGCCAAATTCAGTTATGTGATAAGACTATTGACTGGAAGTCTTGGCAAGAGGGCTGCCTTAACAGCATATTTTGGATATGTGCATTCCAGGCTGTCATACGGAATTATTTTTTGGGGCAATTCAACAACTGACTAGAGAGCACTTATCCTTCAAAAGAAATGCATTAGGAACATCTTTGGAATGTGTTTCAATGACAGCTGAAAAACAAGTATTCAGAGAAAGGGGCATTTTGACTGTGGCTGGTATCTATATCTTAGAATCAATAGTATTCATAAAAAAAATCCATATCTTTTCCAGAATCCATACTTCCACCACTACAGTACTAGAAATACATGTAATCTCATATCAAACACATTAACCATGACTCCACAGGAATGTTGAATTCTCGATAACCAAAATTTGGAATAAGATACCTCTCAACTCTTTCAAAAAAATGTTGCATACTATCCTCGGTGACAAGGCCTATTATCAGGTCCAAGAATTTTTGGAGGACAGTGATTTTAATGTCATCTCATATCTGTGATATTTACTTTAGGTATTTTAAGCTTGTTTTTAATGTATATTTGTATTTTATTGTGTATTTGTATTAATTTTTGACAAGTTTCACATCACCGCTGTGATTACATGCAACAAATAAAGTTTATCTATCTATAGGCCCAGGCCCAGAACCACAGCTTGGTCAGAGTACCCAAATGCTCAAAAATCAACCAAAATTCAGAAATGTCTGAATAATTCTTTTTCCCTGATCTTGCTTTGACCTGGGGGCTCAAGCCAGATTGGACTCAGGTCCCGAACTTCCTGTGGGTCAATCTACATAGCGTAAGGTGGCCTTGGGCATAATAATCTAAAAAACATTTTGTGAGTGTATAAAATTCTTACCATTGAGAGGAAACAACTGGTGAAATGGACTTTGGAACAGCACCAGGTTTTAGCATCAGTAGTGAAATCTTGTTGCAAAAAATGCTTGGAGCATATTCTAACCATCTTTGGGGGATTGAGGTTCTAGCTCGGTAAGTTCCAAGAAAGACATCCATTTCTCTCCCTGCTTTTAATTTGCAGGTAGTCTGGAATGAAAATTAGAAATTCAAGTAAGATGCATTGTACGAACATTTGTGATAAACGATATATTTATACAAGCTCTTGGGGCTTTATGGGCACTCATAAAGAACAGCATTTTTCCTTACATTTAAGAATGTTATGAAAATCTTTCTAAACACTGTTTTACATGTAAAAAAATATAAAATACGGAGTGGATCCGGAAAGTGACGCGCTCCACGCCAATGAGTAAACATAACCTTACCTGTGAAAAGATATCCCTTCACTGCCTACTTTTCCAGCCTCAACCTTACACAAAAAACACTTTTGTCTCACCATGATTATATTATATAATAAATGTCTAAAAACACAAGAAAATCAAGAGGATAAAAGCGATTTTCACATAAAATAATAATGGCGGCCAAAACACGGAACACGCACAGATTCACACTACAAACAAGTACAGCGTTGTCGTATATAAACGTTAATCACAAATGCGTATAACATATTTGTATTATACCTCGATTTGTATTAAAATTCGCGTATTCTTCACTTGTTCTATAAATTATTATAGGTATATAAGAATATACATAAATTTATTCTAGAACCTTTCTGCAACAGAAATAGGTCATTTGGCTAGTTGTGGATACCATGAGGCCAATGTCAAAAGGACCGTGGGGCCAACTTATTTGGCAACATCGCAAAAAAGAGGGTTTGTTGTGGAGGAAGAAGTTTTGTAAACATTCCAGGTCTATTTGGGTAAGACGTCAATGAGAACAACACAATACACTCCGCAGCCGCGGACGTTAGCTACTCGATTCGTCTGCCGAGAGAATTTTTGCCGAGTTTTAAGGGAAAGAGAAATCTTTGACCTAACAGGTGCGTAGAATTACCAATGTGGGGAGCCGATTCTGTAAACATTTCATCGAAATCCGAGAGGTACTTCTCAAGTTATAGGCGGTTTTAGAGTGACATGTTTTTTCGTGATGTACATCCCAAAAATGTAATATTTGACTTTTGAAAATTGGCGTGGGAAGTAAAATGGGAAAAATACGTGGCAATTTTAAAATATCGAATCGAAACGCTGTCATCACGATGTCGGTAAGTGAGCAGTCAAGCCTTCGTCGCTATCATTGATTGTCAGCTAATCAGTCTGATCAATTCCAGAGAGTACTAGTTGACTCGAAACCCGCCTCTATCCAACTATAATGGGCTATGCCCCTTTCCCAACATAGATGTTAACATCGTTTGACAGCAGGCGTGCTGCCCACCAGGAGCACGTCGCCGCCAAGACAACGTCGGAAAAAACAACGAAAGCAAAACAAAACCTTTCAACAGCAAATCACGTGAGCAATTTAAACGGACAGAATGAAATGACAAACCAAAAAACACATGAGATTGACAAACCATGAGTTGTCACTTCCAGATGCAAGAAAAATATAACCTTTCAAAACGTGACAGCAAATTGACCAAGCGTACATATAATAAAATGCAAACCATGAGTTGGGACGTCGTGGCGGAGAGCCCGAAAAATGTGGCGTTAAAATTAACGTCATTGGCATTCCACTTTTAAATGTTTATTAAAAAAGTGCAGACATTTCCATGAATGAAATGAGTTTACGGTATTATAGGTGTATTAACGTAAGTAATGAACAGAAAATACAAAAATATCCACATTCCCTCATGGGAGTATTTTTTACCCAAATATTTAAAACCTCTTTCTCGCGACCGATCTTCTACCTCTCTTCAAAGCTTTCGGACTTCTCTGTGCTTTTCAACTCTGTTGATATAGACCCAGAACCATAACAGTTTCGACATATCTATTGCTCAAATTTATGTCAAAGCTCATTAATAGATCAGCTTGCTACAAATGCGTTTCAGTTTAAAGGTGTGTTCTTTTATCATCAGTTTGACTGGCTTTTCAACACGTACCAGATCATCGCTTTGACACGGAGTTTAAAAATTAAGTGTACCTGCGGGGGAAGGTTTTTCTTTTGGGTACACTGTATCTTAAAAGAAAAGTTTGGCTTCCACAACGTTACCGTGGTAGGATACCAGTTGTGAACTTATACTGTTTGGTTGACATGTAAGTCAAAATCATGTCCAAAATTATAAAAAAAAACTTTCTTTGAACTGAAATTAAATGAAAATGCGGCAGGTTAGGGGCATGTAAACCTAATTTAAGGCCTTTTTTCTGATAGTAGGTGCATTCAAACATGAGTGTAACGAGGCTATTGAATATTGTTATGAGATCTTGGCCTATTATTGGAATGTTTTAAACACCATTCACTTGCCAACTGATCCATGGAATCATTTAGGCCATAGCCAGAAATGATCGGAAACATAAAGAAAAACATATTTTGATAGACAGATCAACAGACTGGTGTCTCTAAACTTCGTCATTAACGATTAAAATTTTACACAAACAAAAATGGTTCATTTCTGAAAGAATCGTCTCAAAAAACTGACCAGAGTTCAGAAATTCGATGTCGCAATGTATGTAGATGCGGTCACATCTCACAAAGAGAGAACTGCCGCGCATACCATAAAAAATCACAATCGACATATATTTCGGCAGGAGTGCTGATATCTTTATTTCGGTGCCATTTGTCTTCTGCGAATTGAAATTACCATAGAAGATGAAAAAGCTGATGGTCGCATATGTTATGCGAGAATTCTGAATTTATTATTTGATTCAAGAACAAATCTGACGAATTTGACCTGCTAACGGTGGACTCACTTCACAGGTCAAAAATTTCATTTTTAGAAACAACTCAATATCGTAACTCTACAATAGCAAAATACATTATCGGATTTTATAATATTGTGTTGTTATATTATTTCACTTTTCAGAAAAGCCAAAACCTTAGAGTTCAGAATACTGGTCATATCTATGAAACTTGTTTTTTAAATGTTTTGGCTGAAACGCTGAAAGATGCAGTTTGCAGAAAAACTTGTAAATGTAAACACTAAAATGCCGAAAGTTTAACTTGTAGCGCGGACTTGCATGGATTTGTTGCTTTCGCAAATAACCTCTGTTTTGACAGAAATCACTTGCGCAACTAACAACTTTAGCTGTAAACTTTCCTGCGTAAACCTGTTGCTTGCAAACAACTACTACTTGTAAACAAGTGACGAGAGTATTTGGTCATTTTAATAAGTAATGTTGCTCAGAAATTTATTTTTTTTACCCCTGAAGTTTGGCTGTTTATTTATGTGACATCTTCTAGATAACAAGAACCAATTCCTGCAGTGCTTCATACATACCAGCACAGACATCAGGAAGAAATTTTTAAATAGTGCATTTTGGTATTCCATAGAAATACTGTAGGGAAGCAAAGGAATCTCCTGCAGCCAAATACCTTAACGTAATTTCTAATTTAATGTTTGATGGTATGGCTACCCTCATTTTTGTATCTTTTTTCTGTATGCACTCTTTCACACGGTCTAACAAATCGTCAGATTTACTTCTTGAAATATGGAGGACGTTTCTATAGATATCCTTGTCTTCTCTCGCCAATTCATCTAATAGTCTTGATCCTCCTAATTGCGATCTTCTTGATACCCAACTTCTTTCCCAACATGACCTTCGTTCTTTCCTCTTTATTTTTGATAGTAACTCGTCTGCTTCTTCAAAAAGCTCATCGCATATAACACTAACTGCAACTCTCACTACAAACCCGAATCCGCCATTACGCACCAGATAAAGAACTGCACTAACTGGACTTCGAGCAAGTTTCCCTTGCAAATGTACAACTTGCATGTCCTACTTACGCAAGCGCTACATGCTAGTGTAAACTCCCCTTAAGGCAATGGAAGAACTTGTTGCATCAAGAATCCTAAGCGATATTGACGCGAAATATCTCACGTTATAAGTTGTATGTAATTTCTGAAGTCACGTTTTTTGTCTAATTTCGATTGCTCTGCTGCATTAGGTTCACATTTCGGGGAACAACGATTTAGCGGCAACACAATCTAGAAAATATGACGCATTTTGGTAAAATTAATTTTTGAAAATACTGTGACTTGGCGCTTTGTTGTGCAACAAAAAGTACTCTAGGAGTGGTTGGAAAAACGTATGTGTCATAAATATAATAGATTGGGCGATCATCATCAAACCTGAAACAGCGCACTAAGGCCCGTATCGTCAGTCGTCCCTACAATTGTAGGGCGCCTTTATGGCCTCCTTGATTGTCATAGTTTTCTACTTCTCCGTGTCAGCGCTCTATTTTGAGGTTATGTCACAAACATCTATTTGCATCAAATTGTGCTTGCTTTTGAGTTATATCATGATTTATCAGCCTGAAATTTCCTACAATTTAAAAAGAAAACATATCTTTACAATAGGAAAGCGCTGACGCTGACACGGGACAAGTGGAATCTAGAAATTTTTGAAGGAGAGAAAGGTGTATGACAATCAAGGAGGCCATAAACGCGCCCTACAATTGTAGGGACGACTGACGATACGGGCCTAAGTTGAATTTGAAGAAATTTTATCAACGATAAAGTTCTTTTTCGTGACAGGTATGGAGTTAAATCCGCACAAGTGATATTAATGTTCCATTAGGTCTGTTACAGACGTTTTCTATTCCCAATAAACTACTAGATTAATTTTTTTAAGCCTGAAGAAGATCACAATTCTCACAAATCAGTTTATTTGGTGAATATGATTTTTTACCACCTATAAATTTGTTTGCGGTCTACGCGTTCTGAACCAGGATTAGGATATATTCTAGTAAATAGTCTGATATCATTATCTAGTGGCGCTGAGACACGTAGTTTTCCTAGTCACTACCAGAATCGCTATATATCGGATGATACTGTGTCTGTGATAGTATCTTGGAATTAGAGGTGTGGCTTATAGTTTTCTTGATTAACATTCTGCGGAATATCGAGATCATTCAACAACGTTCTATAGAATTATTGAAGCGTCATCTCTCAGCGAGTCAGGGGCGTGTTAATATGGAAATGGGGTGTGTTTGTATGGAAATGGTAGTTTTTGTTCAAATATGGCATAGATCTTAAGGCCCTCTTTTATCCCAATCTCTTCAATTTATAGATCAACCACAGCTAATCCACTACGTCACTGGCTACAGATTTACACATGTCAACTAGCTTTCAAATGCAACAGCGAGCCTCATTAGCCAATGACCATTAGAGTTTAAAGTTTTTAATCTTCTACGTCCGCTGTTCTGCAGAAATTCTATAATTTAGATAAAATATATGCTTCTACTTATTTGCAGGTGCACTCATTTGCCAAATTGCCTCAGTCACTTTGACCTTTTTTTGTTTAACAGTGAGCGTGTATGCTTAGATCGGCACATATACGTTCCTAATTATGTCTTATCTTTTTGATCTTTCGGTATTTTAATTATTATTTCGTACTAATAACTTGATGGCTGGTACATAATGGCTGGTTCACTATAGGGCAGGCGTCAAATACAAAAATTATACAGACATTCAAACAACAGTTTGTTGCTGATCATATTAACAATTTTCCCCGAAATAATTGTAAAGTGTGGTGTTATTGATGCAAGTTGTTTAAGGGGGTATTTAAAACATGGAAGCATAAAATGGGTACACCAATTGTTATGGGAACACTTTTTATTCGACAACAAATAATGAGAAAACGTATTTTTTTGGGATTCAACCGAAAGTGTTGCCAGGACGAGAAAACTCTTCAAACAAGATTTTTAGGTATTTATGAGACCTACAGAACGAGATTACACGTAAAAAGATTCCGCTAATAGTAAAAAAGTTATGGCCGAAAACTCAGGCAAAATGTAAGGTTCGGCACTTGTTGCTAATGCGACGATAATTTCATGTATCTACTTGAAATTCTTCATATCCGTAGGATTCATGCTTCTAAATAACAACAAAGTTGGAGTATATTGGTTAAGTAGTTTTTGAGAATTTCTATTTTTTTATCCCAAAACACCTGTCTTCCGGCCATAACAACTAGTTTACTGAGCAATATATAGGATTCGTTCAAAGGGCATTTATTTTATAGCAAAATATACGAATTTATCTTACCGACGTTAATCACAAACCATTCCGAAAGATAATAATTGTTTTTATGCGAAGAGTTAGGTTTTTTCTTCCTAAACAAATTCAAACATTTCTTATTTATAAGTAAATTTTTTCTTTGTAACTAAAGGTGATAGAAACATCCGCTTTGTTTTAAAATGTGTATGCATAATAACGTATGTTTTTCGAATATCGTAGCGACTTTTCAGTTACATACAAATACGAAATTTTCGAATTTGTTTAGGAGAAAAAAAGGAAACCTTCGTTTTTCACATAAAAATTACAATTATGATCTTTGGAATGGCTTTTTTGATTTATGTCGGCAACGTAAACTTGTGTATTTTGCTATAAAATGCCCTTTGGACGAACTATGTATATTGGTCAATAAACTAGTAGTGATTAGCAACAAGTGCCAAAATCTGCATTTTTGTTTTACTATTAGTGGGACCTTATTTGACGAGTTTTTTCGTTCCTGCCAACACTTACGACTGAATCCCAAAAAACATGTTTTCCCATTCTTTGTTGTCGAATAAAAAGTTTTCCCACAAAAAATTCTGTACCCATTTTATGCGTCCATGTTTTCAATACCCCGTGAACAACTTGCATCAATAAAACCAGACTTTACAATTATTTCGCAAACCAGTGGTATTTTCGTCTAATACTCGTATGATTAGGCTATCAAGCGATAACTGAATATAATGTCGGGTTTACGAAGTCATGGAAAACCTGACAAATCCTGAGAGATTCTATCATCACCATTTCCTGCCCGAAGTGTTAGATTCTCCAAGAACGGCGTACTGACGAAAACTCCCCAGTGCACAGTGATTCTCCTTCCATACTAGGGCAGCCATAAATACACAACTCAGACTTAACCTTTTTCATTGTATTTTAAACCTTGAAATACAGTTATACAAACATGAAAATATAATTTATGAAATTCTTTATTAGAAAAAAGAATACTAAGTAGGTACTAAACATGTTTCTCAGTATTTTTGTTTTAGCTATTGTTTTGGATCAACCTTATATTAAATAAATAAAATAAAACAGTTCATAATAAGGGCAAACGAGATGTATTGAAAAGAATTATAAACTCTCATTTTCGATGTTTTGCTCGTTCGCCTGTTGCTTTGTCTCTTGGCGTTTTTCTAATCAGATAACCTGTGGAATTGCTGCACCGAATTTGGTAACCTTTGAGAGGTATTCTTGCTGAGGAGTCGTAACGGGTATTACTGCTTCATTTTTCGGTGTAGTGGCAGTATAGCGGAAAAAAACAGAAAAGCCGTTAAAAATCCTCAACATTTCTTTTCATTTATGAACGTAGTTAAAATAAATGGTAGGGTGGAAATCTGAAATCTTTTGGACATTCTTCAGCCTTCTACCCAGCTCAAGGCGTAGTTAATTTTTTTTCAAATAGTTAGCCTTGTTGACCGTATTATTCACTTGAGAATGATCGCGGCAAGGTGTGGCTTGAGAAAAATGATTCAAGAGTCTTCGGATGTATAACGTAGCCCAACCCATACAGCGCTGCATATCAGAAGCAGGAAGAACTGCTAACCACCGATAAAGGCATCTGTGGGTACATACATACGCACCAATAACATTGCAAACGGTATGCGAACAACCAATTACAGACCACCTGCTGACAGTTTCTTCAGAAGTCCAAAGATAAGTTGCGCCGAAGCCGCTGTCGCTTCAATAACAAAGCGATTTATCCTCTGTTAGTGCTATTACATCCGCTCATAGGTTACCGGGAAATTTGTTTAGCCGTTTTTCTGTCATCAAACATTCTGAATCGAACTACATAGTGATATATCTTTTGTCCGACCGACCGCAGACGACCAACCATGGACAACGATTTCGTACTATCTGGCAACTCTTCAGCATGGTTTAGGCTTGGTCTCGGTGGACAACGAATAAAAGCTGAGCAACTATACTCTATCTAGAGTATAAGGTCTATCGAAATAAGACACTGCAAGTACCATCTACACAGTATGTCTGAAAATTTCCCGTACTGAATTTCTGTATTCGATACAAGCAGCGTGATCTCTCGAACAACCCCGGGACTGTGTAGCGCGTTGTCTGAAGTCTGTGTGCCAAATTTCACCGCGTTTGGAACAAAGAAGTGCGATAAAGTTTTGCGTTTGTCTTAAGATTGTTTTTCAAAACAATTGTAACGGGCGACGAAAGCTGGTGTTTCGTGTACGATCCTCACACAAAACGTCAATCCGCTGCTTGATTGAGTCCAGGTGTGCAAAAGCCATCGAAAGTCAGACAACAAAAGTCGAAAGTGAAAACAATGTTGATTGCATTTTTTGATTCAAAGGGCCTGATTCACCATGAATTCGTTCGGACTGGGCAAACTATAAATTCTACGTTGTATTTGAAATGCCTGATGCGCCACATTCGTCGGATCCAGCCCGAGTACCAGGATCCGGGCAGCTGGACTCTGTTACATGACAATGCGCCGGCTCACACTTCTGATGCGTTACTACGCGAGTGATCAAATCACTGTCTTATGCCATCCGCCCTATTCACCTAATATGGTATTGGCCGACTATTTTTGGTTGAAGATGAAAGGACGATTTTTTGATGACATCTCGGCTATCCAGAAGGGTTGTACCGAGGAGCTGAAAGCCATCTCAGACTATTAATTCTCCAGAGCGTTCGACGCACTCTACCGGCGCTGTAACGAGGGTATTACTAGAGAAGGTTCCTATGCAGAAGGCTGATGTGAAT